CTGTCACGCAGTCCACAGACGCAAGACCGCACAGACGCTGTTTACTCCACCAACGCAACAGTTCTTAGCGGCTTTTTTTGACCTATATCTTCCTCGCAGTTCGCACAAAGTTTGTTGCAATGGTGACAAGAATCCAGGAGCAGTTCGCCACAAAAGAAAGTCCGTTTTTGAGGTCGCTGAAAGAAGAAGACAAGGGGAAAAGCAGCGAAGCCAAACTAAGGTGATTCTTGAAGATTCATTCCAGCGATGGCGCGACTGAAGCAGACGCAGGGTCTAAAGACTGAAGCACTGGTCCACAAATTACTCCTGGACAGGAAACTTCTGCTTATTATGAAAACGTACTTTATTTCCAAGAGCTACACAAACGTTTTTCAGGACACGAAAGCGATATCCTATGTCTGAAAACGTAATTTTCAAGGCAAAGAAAGAGTCCGCTTGCTGCTGCTGCGTGTTGTAGCTAGTTCATTCGCACTGAATCTCCACGTAACTCTTCTCTGCACCCCTTTTCCTGCTCCTGTCCCCGCTGCCCGATCCGCTCTTCCCCCTGCTCCTCACTTCTCCGGGCACGGAATCTCCGCGCACCGCTCCTCTCTCCTCTCTCCTCTCCTCTCTCCTCTCCTCTCTCCCTGCTCCGCTCTTCTCCCTGCTCCTCACTTCTCGTCCGCAAACGAAAATGTCCACGCACCCCCTCCCCCCGCTCCTCACTTCTCCGTCTTGCCTAACCAACACTGTAGTTAGTTGTTTACAAGTCATGTGCAGCACCGGCTGTAAACAAACCTGTTTCTGGCGTAAGGAGGAGGCGGGAGGAGGCGTTTCTACGTAGGAGCTGTAGGGGAGGGGGGGTGGTTTCACGCATGCACAACATTTGAAAAAGGACAAACAGTCGCTGGATTTCTCGTTCCTTGGAAAATCCTCTATACAACCTTTAAGTCATGCTGGCCTTAGCTAATGATGTTATGCATGATTATGCGTTTTCCTGTCAATATCTGTAAAAATGTTGATGTTGCAGCCATTTTTAATTGGTAAACATCCAAAAGTTTACTAATTCTTCCCTTATATCCAGGTATTATTCCCTGTTGCTTTCATCAAATATACATTAAATTGTTCAAGAGAAATGTTGCTGACAAACCGATAGAAGAGGTAATGATTTTCTGACTCGTGGACCTTCTGATGATAAGGGTTTAACCTCTTTATCAGCCGGGATCTGATAGAAAGATACTTCGACCTCCTTCTTTAGCAGATTGACTCCGGCCAGAACATCCAACAGCAACACGGGTCAAAACCATTGTTATTCAAGTCAAATTTTATCGCACACAAATACTACACGTTCGTCCAGATGAATAGTTTGACCTCCAATACGGCGTCAAAAACACCGGGTCACGTTGTGATGTAGACGCAAAACCTCAATACACTGAGAATGAGAAAGACGGCAGGCTTCATAGTTCCCCCGTTAAATACTTTTATTCATTTAACTCAGCTCTACTTCTCTTACGACTTACGACAGCGGAATGTCACCTCATTATAACCAGTAATTAACTTGTTGAATGTTTTAAAAAGAAAACGTGGAGAGAAATCACCTTGTACGCTCCAAGGATCACACTTCAAGTCACTAGTAGCTCTTCTTGCGCTCAAATACTTATACCTTCTTTATTGCATACTTTCAAAACAGCTATGCAGAAAGGATCCAGTCAACACGTCCTTAAAGATTCACTTTCACGCCGCGCTGTGTTGGACAATATGTGGCCTTGGTTTGTATTCACGTTCCGCGCGCGCAGGGCTTTTGTAGCTCACGCTGCTGGAAATGTCAAGATGTTTGTGCGATTGGAATTCAAGAGGAAAAGTCAAGTCGCTTTAAAGGTCCTACATGACACTAAACGGACTCTTGTGAGCTTTAAGTCACGTCAGGACGCTGGGATCTCCTCAAAAACACGGCCGGAGTCGCGTTTTGTTTCATTCACCGATTTCGTGTTTGAGTAATCCTGCGTTTTCAGTCTCAAAAGTCCTGTTTAGTCCTGGTTTAGACCTGGTTTAGTCCTGGTTTAGTCCTGGTTTAGTCCTGGTTTAGTCCTGGTTTAGAGGTTTAGACCTGGTTTAGTCCTGGTTTAGTCCTGGTTTAGTAGTCCTGGTTTAGACCTGGTTTAGACCTGGTTTAGACCTGGTTTAGTCCTGGTTTAGACCTGGTTTAGTCCTTTTAGACCTGGTTTAGACCTGGTTTAGTTTAGTCCTAGTTTAGTCCTGGTTTAGTCCTGGTTTAGTCCTGGTTTTAGACCTGGTTTAGACCTGGTTTAGTCCTGGTTTAGTCCTGGTTTAGACCTGGTTTAGACCTGGTTTAGTCCTTTTAGTCCTTTTAGTCCTGGTTTAGACCTGGTTTTAGACCTGGTTTAGTCCTGGTTTAGACCTGGTTTAGGTTTAGTCCTGGTTTAGTCCTGGTTTAGTCCCTGGTTTAGACCTGGTTTAGTCCTGGTTTAGACCTGGTTTAGACCTGGTTTAGTCCTGGTTTAGACCTGGTTTAGTCCTGGTTTAGACCTGGTTTAGACCTGGTTTAGTGGTTTAGACCTGGTTTAGACCTGGTTTAGACCTGGTTTAGACTTTGTTTAGTCCTGGTTTAGACCTGGTTTAGACCTGGTTTTGACCTGGTTTAGACCTGGTTCAGTCCTGGTTTAGACCTGGTTTAGACCTGGTTCAGTCCTGTTTTAGACCTGGTTTAGTCCCCTGGTTTAGACCTGGTTTAGTCCTGGTTTAGAGTCCTGGTTTAGACCTGGTTTAGACTGGTTTAGTTTTAGTCCTGGTTTAGACCTGGTTTAGACCTGGTTTAGACCTGGTTTAGACCTGGTTTAGACCTGGTTTAGACCTGGTTCAGTCCTGGTTTAGACCTGGTTTAGCCTAAAATGTGAAAACAGGAAAACACCGCCGTGTAATCCATTTATTTCAACAAAGTAACTGTAATCCAATTACCACTCACTGAAACAGTAACTGTAACTGAATACAGTTACTCATCATTTGTACTCTGATTACATAACTCCAGTACATGTAATCTGTTACTCCCCAACACTGGATAACAGTAACAGAATTCCCTCGTGTGATCCCACAATTTCCAACCAGAAAGTCAAATTTGAAACCTAAAAAAAATGTCAAATTGGGAAAAAATCTTCAACAGAACGAGCTTAAGTATGTTTAAGAATTATATTTAATGTCGTACCAAGCAGAGCAATAACATCACTGTGGAGACAAGCATTTATTTTTTTTCGAATATAGCCATTTTCAAAACAAAAAAAAAGGTAACACGGTGATCTAAACATGTTATGTGTTAGCAAATTAATGCCCCGTAGAAGTAAAACACCTTCTCTTTAAATAAAAAATTAAACTTTTACAACACCAGACCGAACACTGCAAACAGACGGCTTGTTTTTACTCGTACTCAGTGTTGGGAAGGTGACTTTTAAAATGTATTCCCCTACAGATTACAGATTACACACTCCAAAATGTAGTTTGTAACGTAATCCATTAAATTATTTAGAGTGAGTTACGTAATCTGAATACTTTGGATTATTTGATTTGCTGTAGAGAAGCAAAGACGAGGAAATCTTCACGTAAGAAGTTTTGTCTGATAAAAGAAAATAAAAAGTCCAGACTTTACTGAACCAAATTAAAAATATTATTGATAGAAGAGGAGACACGGTCCGGGTTTAGTCCTGTTAGATCCTGGTTTAGACCTAGTTTAGACCTGGTTTTAGTCATGGTTTAGTCTTGATCTGGACCTGGTTTTAGACCTGGTTTAGACCTGGTTTTAATCCTGGTTTTAGACCTGGTTTTAGACCTGGTTTAGACCTGGTTTTAGACCTGGTTTAGACCTGGTTTAGACCTGGTTTTAGACCTGGTTTTAGACCTGGTTTAGACCTGGTTTAGACCTGGTTTTAATCCTGGTTTAGACCTGGTTTTAGACCTGGTTTAGTCTTGGTTTGGACCTGGTTTAGACCTGGTTTTAGATCTGGTTTTAGACCTGGTTTTAGACCTGGTTTTAGACCTGGTTTAGACCTGGTTTAGACCTGGTTTTAGACCTGGTTTAGACCTGGTTTAGTCTTGGTTTGGACCTGGTTTTAGACCTGGTTTAGACCTAGCTTAGAGCTGGTTTTAGTCCTGGTTTAGACCTAGTTTAGACCTGGTTTAGATCTGGTTTTAGTCATGGTTTAGTCTTGATCTGGACCTGGTTTAAGACCTGGTTTAGACCTAGTTTAGACCTGGTTTTAATCCTGGTTTAGACCTGGTTTTAGACCTGGTTTATTCTTGGTCTGGACCTGGTTTTAGACCTGATTTAGACCTGGTTTTAGACCTGGTTTAGTCTTGGTTTGGACCTGGTTTTAGACCTGGTTTAGACCTAGTTTAGACCTGGTTTAGATCTGGTTTTAGTCATGGTTTAGTCTTGATCTGGACCTGGTTTAAGACCTGGTTTAGACCTAGTTTAGACCTGGTTTTAATCCTGGTTTAGACCTGGTTTTAGACCTGGTTTAGACCTGGTTTTAGACCTGGTTTGGACCTGGTTTAGACCTGGTTTTAGACCTGGTTTAGACCTGGTTTAGACCTGGTTTTAATCCTGTTTTAGACCTGGTTTTAGATCTGGTTTTAGATCTGGTTTTAGACCTGGTTTTAGACCTGGTTTAGACCTAGTTTAGACCTGGTTTAGTCTTGGTTTAGACCTGGTTTTAGACCTGGTTTAGACCTGGTTTAGACCTGGTTTTAATCCTGGTTTAGACCTGGTTTTAGATCTGGTTTTAGACCTGGTTTTAGACCTGGTTTAGACCTGGTTTAGTCTTGGTTTGGACCTGGTTTTAGACCTTATTTAGATCTGATTTTAGACCTGGTTTAGACCTGGTTTGGTGTCCGGCAATGAGTGGAATTACCGGGAAAAAACAATAAATTTTTTTATATAGCCCAAAATGTGAAAACAGGAAAATACCGCCATGTAATCCATTTATTTCAACAAAGTAACTGTAATCCAATTACCACTCATTGAAACAGTAACTGTAACTGAATACAGTTACTCATTATTTGTACTCTGATTACATAACTCCAGTACATGTAATCTGTTACTCCCCAACACTGCTCGTACTGCAAAACAAACTAATGTAAGTGATTTAGACCCATGTCTGTGTTCAATCTAAATATAACCTTATTGTATTCTTCTTGCATATTAATAAATAAATACTTCTAGGCATAAAACACAAACTGTTATCTTCCAATTTCCACCATTTGCAGAAACATCACCGCGTCAACAGTCCGTAAGCCGCCCACGGGAGACGGTAAAACGGCAGAGTCTGTCGTCGTGTACGGAGGCCTGCATAGATAAAACATAAGACACGTGGGTGGGACGTTCCGCAGTGGGCCTGTAGGGGGAGCTCTTCACTTGGGTCCAGCCACTTTTCCCGCCCCCGGGCTTCTCCCATGGCTCACGTGGGCACTGGAGATGGAGAAACAAGAACATTAGTTGCATATAAATGGTTTGTGGACCGGTTTCGAATCCCGTTTTCTTGCGTGTTATGGTGTTTGGTTATGCAGATGGTCATGAGGCGTCAGGAGTCAGATTTTAGTAGTTTCAAAGTGCGCTGTGTAATGTTTTCCGGTGTGGGTCCACGGTTTGTTACTGCTTTGCCTTGAATGTTCCACAGAATAGGCTCTATCACGCTTAACCGGCGAACGTTTGCAAACATGGCATTGATGAGTAACTTTGGGCTCTTTTGCCGGTAGTAACAAAATCTGGGAAAACCGAGAAAATGGCCCAGTTTTCTTCATCTAGATGTCAATGGATTCTTTCTTTTATTCTTTTATATTTTCATAAATTGGCTATTCATTTGTGTATTATAATTTGTCTAACTTAAAAAAAAATGTCACTGAAGTGTTCCGTTGTGTTCGGCAGATTGACGGTTACAACCAGCTCTCTGAACGTGACATCGAAAGTGCGATTAGAGTAGGCGTGGGCACATGAGAAACAGAAAATACTGGTGAGGGCCGTGCCAATATGCTTAACTCAATTTTGCATTATTCTTTATTTTAAAAAAAGCAGTAAATAGGATTGTTTTGACATGCTGGTAAGACTGGTAAGATTTTATTTTATGACTAAATCATGAAAAAGTGAGGTTGCCTTACAAAAAATGTCATAAAAAAACACCTCTAAAATAAAAGCAGTGCAGCTTTAGTCCATGCATGAAGTAAAATAATAAAATATGTTTATTTTGTAATTCCAAATGAGTTTAAAGGGGCCAATTAGAGTCAACCAAAGGGCCGTATGTGGCCCCGGAGCTGGACAATGCCCAGGTCTGGATTAAGGGCAACGCTAGGGGGCTTAGATTTGAACCTGGCGTTTGTGTAAACTAAGGGTCGACAACCTTAAATACTCAAAGAGCCATTTGAAGCGTCTCCCACAGAAAGAAAAACACCCGGAGCCACAAAAACCACATCTAAAATGAGGAGAACATTGCATATAATTTTTTGTTTCACTTTAAAGTCTGACTGAAGATGACTGCATCAGTGCACATGGAGTGAGCAGTTTTTTTTTTTTTCTTTTTTCAGCGCTTAGTTATGCAAATTATCTAAGTAGTTTTAAGTTTCGTTTCTGTAAAATGGTAACAAATGTGCGCAAAGCTGCATTAAACACATTATTCCTCAATGTATGTTAAAAGAAATGAAAGCCGAGTATAGGAAATGTATGTAAAGCAGTGGTAGAGAGAACCAATCACAGCCCTTACTGTCTGTGTTGCTTCCCCTTGCTGTCTGCATCGTTTTGACGTGTAGTTAGAAAATGTCAGACGAAGACTATGGAGTAAGAAAGCTTTCAAAAATATTCGTGCGCATAGAATAGAAAGCCGTGCGTATCTGGGAAATCCGTGCATATTTGGCTGTAGTTGCTCATAAAATAAATATTTGTAAACTCTCAAATGAGTCCAGTCGTACATAAAATCAGAATTGAAAAGATACGATGTCAAGAATTACACTCACGAAATGAAAATTTACGATTACGCTTTCATCAGTACGAATATGAATTCACAGACACTGTTGGGCAAGTTACTTTAAAACTGTACTGCGTTATTTATTACTTATTACTGTCATTTCAAAGTAATTCGTTACTTTACAATATTACTGCATTTAAAATGTAAGGCATTACATTACTATTGCATTACTCTCACCAAAATAACTGCGAAAAAGCTGAACTTTTGAGCTGTATATGGACTGAACCAGGACTAAACAAGGTCTAAACCAGGTCTAAACCAGGACTAAACCAGAGCAGAACCAGGACTAAACCAGGACTATAACAGGACTAACCTCAGACTGATTCCAGGACTGAAGAGGAGGACTAAACCAGAACTGAACTAGGACTAAAACAGGACTCACTGTCAGGACGGGCTCGAAGGTGACCGCAGGAGAAAGGACCGGCTTTGCTCCGCACCTCATGGAGGTAAGAGCGGCTGTCGCCTGATCGCGCTTTATGGACCCTGCTGCTCAGGCTCACGGTCCTAATTTCAGCAACTATTTGCGGGTACAAGACCCGGTGCAAAACTCTGCTACAGCGCGTAACTTCTACCTTCCTTCAACGTGTCCAGAAGTCCAACTTTTTGTGCCATGGTTTGCATCGTCCTCTGCCTTTTGGGTGTGAGCGCAGGAGACTTTGTCGGTGCAGAACATTTCGTCGACGTTGTGGATTTTGTCGGAGAGAAAACTTGCAGACATACAGCACTTCAGAATCACACTGCTAGAGATTGAACATTTATTTAAATTTGGCAGCTGAACATATTCTGTACTGTACTGTTCAGGAGACAGGAGTCCCTCAGCCGATCAGGACACAGCGGGAGGAACGCAATACGTGTTCATGCACTAAAAACAAAAGGCATGCAAAATTGCACAAAAAAAAAAATTCTAAAAATCAGCGAAACAGCGAGACCGCGAAAAGTGAATCGTGTTAGAGCGAGGGACGACTGTAAACCAGGTCTAAACCAGAAGTGACCCAGGTCTAAACCAGGTCTAAACCAGAAGTGACCCAGGTCTAAACCAGGTCTAAACAGCGTAGAGTTCTGGGTCGGTCCTTTCACCCGCGGTTAACTGAAGGTTTATCCGGCCGCGTCTCCGGCGTTTCACCGCTGCTGATTTCACAGTGATTTTAGCGAATTTCTATGAAGAAAAACCCACCACTTCAATCCAGGTTAAAAAAGCATTGTTACGCACGTTACTCACATTTGTACCGAGTAAAATATTACAATTTTTCCCCCTGTAATGCCTTACATTACTGCGTTACAGCAAAAATCAACACATTACTGTAATACATTACTTTTATAATACATTACTCCCAACACTGTTCACAGACGGGACTTTTCTGTCAAAAATACGTTGTCACTTCACAGACATTTATCGGGCAGAAGAAACATCGATCAAGACTGCACATGTTTAAGTTTGTAGCAGAGGGTAAAAACTGAGTAATGGCACAACAAGGAGCTACAACAGCGACCAACAAGTGGGTTCATTCAAATTTACTGTAAAAATGTCGTCTTGCCACATTGAATTCAGGAACCGAATGCTGCTGTGTAATATTGTGTAGAAACACCTCCTCTGAACCTGAAATTGCACCTGTATCTTAGTAGATAACATAGTGGAGCCAGTTGGCGAACATCAGCAGTAACGTTATCCCAGGGTTAATTGGCAAATATCTGCGTTTTCTTCATGTTTACTTTAAAACATTCACAGCTACAGCCACAGCGAGCAGTCAGTCAGTCTTAACCTTCATCTCAGCTGCATTTCTCGCATGAAATGTGAACAAAAGTTCCTCGGGACGCTGAAATGTCCCAGTTTACACCAAACACGACCAAACTGTCCTGGTTACAGACGTCACAGCCAATGAAATGTTACACATTACAGTTTAATGCAGCTTCCAGCATCAGTTAGTTTGATGAAAGTCTGATGAAAGCGTAATCGTAAATTTTCATTTCGTAATTGTAATTCTTGACGTCGTAACTTTTCAGTTCGTATTCTGATGGATAAATTACACACAATCTATTTTATGTACGACTGGACTCATTTGAGAGTTTACAAATATTTATTTTATGCGCAACTACAGCCAAATATGCACGGATTTCCCAAATACACACGGCTTTCTACTCTATGCGCACGAATATTTTTGAAACCTTTCTTACTCCATAGAAGACTCTCTGTGAATGGATGGTGAATTGGGTTTTAGAGTCCCGTCCCCCATGGAAAGCTTTGGCAAGTTCTGAAAAACGTTGCTGCTGAATCCACGGTTTTATCACATGCCCAGTTTTCGGTAACTACTCCGGAAGTCGTTGTTTCCAAACGTCTTCCAGTAAGCGTGAATAGAGCCTTTAAGGTTTGTCAAAAGTATCGACAATCAGAGTTTGAAATAAAGCTACTCAAGTCTAAAGATATTCCTGACAGTATTATTTTTGCCGGTAACGAGAAATCTAACTAATGATTCTTTCTTTTGCTGCAACGCCTTTCCTGTCAGTGTATCGGGGCTCGTTATTTTACTTTGAGTCTCAGCAGCGGTGACAGATCAGGCTGCGCTCTCTTGTAGGTTTTTCCTTTATTTTGAGAAGTAAACAAGACCGAAGTGACGGATTAGAGACAGTGATTGGCTGCACTGGCCTGAGCTGTTGTGACAGTACAGGAGCGAGTTTGTTTCAGTGATTTTTGAGCTCCGTGGAGGACAGGAGCTCAGGGTGAGTTTGTTGATTTGATAAATAAGGCCAATTGTAGCTTGTAATTTAATAGTCAAACTGTCTGTAACTTTTTTGGTAATTAGTCACTTTCATCAGTTATGTTGGGGGAGAAGCAACGAGTAACTATAATGACTTTTATGAAGGTTCTTGCTCAACATTGTCGACAATTAAAAACTGATAAATACTAAGTGAGTTCTACACATTATAAATCTGGAACGGCTCTTACTGAAAACAATCAAGAAAAAGCCAAATGCAATGAATCCGTCACAAGAGAGAATCAAACTTTTGTTACATCCAGTTGAGAAAAAACATCTTCAATAATCCGTGTATCATTCGTTTTTCAATATAAAACCAAAAATAAGAAAACGAAAAAACAACTGTTTTCTTCATTATTTTTCTCCAAAACCAAAATGAAAAAACAGGATAACGTCCGTTTCCCGTTTACGTGACTTCAGTGACTGTGATGCTGGACTTTTGCACCGCGTACGGACTGAACCAGGACTGATTCAGGTCCGGGACCAGAGCGGACCAGAGCGGGACCAGGGCGGACTCCGAGCTTTGACTCCGAGCCTCCGCGGGGTCTGAGTCTCAGCTTCGAGCTCCGGCCCTGCCACGGGCTCTGAGCCTCCGGTCTGGTCCCGGTCTTGTCTCGGTCTCAGGTCCGCTCTGGTCCCGGACCTGGTCCATTTGAACCAAAAGCTCTTAGTTCGGTTCGTTTTCGTTGGTGTGAAAGCGTCAG